TTTTCTTCAAGCCCCTACCAGAGATGAAAAAAGATTCCAAGTTCTGGGCACTCATGTATGTTCTCCTCGGGGTAGCTACTTTAATCGTTGTGCCCATCCAGAATTTCTTCTTTGGAATTGCGGGGGGTAAACTCATCCAGAGAATCCGTTCTTTAACATTCCAGAAAGTAGTCTACCAAGAAATCAGCTGGTTTGATGATCCTGCAAACTCAAGGTATATATAGTATATAACTATATATGTATGTACCACTTCAATTCAATTCCATCTAATATATATATAACGTACCTACTTCAGTGGTGCAATTGGCGCAAGATTATCCACCGATGCATCCACTGTCCGGAGCCTTGTAGGTGATGCTTTGGCTCTAATTGTCCAGAACATAGCAACAGTCGTGGCAGGGGTCATAATTGCCTTTACAGCTAATTGGATCCTAGCATTTATCATCCTCGCTGTGGTTCCACTACTAGGCTTGCAGGGTTTTATGCAGATGAGGTTGTATGCAGGATTTAGTGCTGACGCCAAGGTGATGTATGAAGAAGCAAGTCAAGTTGCAAATGATGCAGTTGGGAGCATAAGAACCGTGGCGTCATTTTGTGCAGAAGAGAAGGTGATGGCCATGTATCAGAAGAAATGTGAAGAGCCTGTGAAGCAAGGGGTTAAAGTAGGACTCATAAGTGGATGGGGTTTGGGCTTTGGTTCTCTTGTGCTCTATCTCACAAACGCATTTTGTTTCTACATTGGAGCTGTTCTTATCGAACACGACTTAGCAACCTTTCCACAGGTCTTCAAGGTCAGAATGAATGAATAATTGAAACAACTAACATATATACACGACCAATTCGATCTAAACTTAATTTTGAATTTGGCAGGTTTTCTTTGCACTGGCAATGACTGCTACTGGAGTTTCTCAAGCCTCTGCTATGGCACCAGACCTTAACAAGGCTAAGGATTCAGCGGCCTCTATATTCGACATTCTTGACAGAAAACCCAAGATTGATAGTAGCAGTGAACAAGGTACAACGTTAACTAAGGTCCTAGGAGATATCGAGCTGCAACATGTAGCATTCAAGTATCCAACTCGCCCGGATATCCAAATTTTCAAGGACATGTGCCTGACTATGCCTGCCGGAAAGACATGCGCTCTTGTTGGAGAGAGTGGAAGTGGGAAATCAACGGTGATCGGGCTAGTAGAGAGGTTCTATGCTCCTGATTCTGGAGAGGTTTTGCTGGATGGGGTTCCAATCGAGAAATTGAACCTAAATTGGCTAAGGCAACAAATGGGGCTGGTGAGCCAAGAACCAGTACTCTTCAACGACAGGATTCGCAACAACATAGCCTATGGCAAACAAGGAAATGTTACCGAGGAAGAGATCATTGAGGCTGCAAAAGCTTCCAATGCACACACTTTCATCTCCTCACTGCCTCAAGGCTACGATACTCCGGTGGGAGAGAGAGGGACACAACTATCCGGTGGTCAGAAGCAACGGATAGCCATTGCTCGGGCGATACTTAAAGATCCAAGAATTCTTTTGCTGGACGAGGCTACGAGCGCGCTGGACACACAGTCAGAACACATAGTGCAAGAGGCGTTGGAGCGCGTGATGGTGAACCGGACCACTGTCGTTGTGGCTCACCGTTTAGCAACAATTAAAGGGGCTGACCTGATTGCTGTGGTGAAAAATGGAATCATTGCAGAGAAGGGGAAACATGAGACGCTTTTGAAAATCAATGGAGGAGTTTATGCTTCCTTGGTAGCACTTCACACCACCACTACTAGTACTACTACCTAAATAATCATCCCATTCTTTCGCATAGTATAGATTGATTGAAGATACAAATTTAATATTTCCACGCACCACCTCCGATCCCAACATGTTTAATTTCTACAATAAATTTAATGCATGTATGTGGCCGGATTATTGCGGTCTCATTTTCGATCTTAATATCAAATTTAATTTTAAATTGATTTATATTCAATTCCGTTTACAAAATTGCAATTGACAAATTTAATTTTCTACCCTTGTCCTTAATTAATGTAGGGGTGTAAACGAGTCGAATTCGAGCCTAGGTGTGCTCGAACTCGAGCAACTCGATTGTTCGACGTCGATCTTGAGCTCGAGTTCGAGTTTGATTTTTCGCTTGAACTCGAGTTCGATTTTAACCTTGAATTTGACAGTTTGACTTGTTTGATTTAAAATTTAAACTACTCTGTTTTATCTATATACATAAATAATACAAACTTCAAATCAAAACACTCAAAATAAATTCGTAACGAAGTACAAGACACAACAAGTCAATAACATTGTTCAAACTTCAAAACATTCAAAATAAGTTTGTAAATCACAACAAACTACAAGACACAAGTCAACAACAGTAGTCCTTGATTCCTTGTACATATATATTTCGTCCGGGATAAGTTCAAAACAAGAAGGGATAAAGTACAAATAAGCCACGGAACTATTTGGGAAAAAGCAATTAAGCCATCGAACTTAAATAACCCCCAAATAAGTCATTGAACCCGGAAAAAAAGAGCAATTAACATTTTTAACAGGTTAACTCCAGGTTTTTACTGACTGGATTGCCAAATATTTATTTTATTTACGTTTTTTTATTATTATAATCCATCTACATAGTAATATATTTTAGTAATATATTTTAAAGTAATTATAATCAAAGTAGTTTTGTCTTGTCTAGATCTAATTTATTTATTTATTATTATTTTTTTAAACAAAAGATCTAGTGAAAAATAATAATAAATAAACAAATCAAATCTCGACAAGATAAAACTATTTTGATTATAATTATTTTAAAATATAATACTATCCAAGTGGATAATATTTATAAAAAATAATAAACGTAAATAAAATAAACATTTGGCAATCCAATAAGCAAAAACTTGGAGTTAACCTATAAAAAATGTTAATTGCTCCTTTTTTCAGGGTTCAATGACTTATTTGCTCTTTTTTCCGGGTTCAATGGCTTATTTGATGGTTATTTGAGTTCAATGGCTTAATTGCTGTTTCCCAAATACTTCAGTGGCTTATTTTTACTTTATCCCAAACAAGAAATATATGTTCAACTTGCAAAAAAAAAATGAATAATATTAGATAATAAATAAAAGTAATTAAAAATAGTTTGACAAGGATGTTACTTAGTAACTTACTTTCATGAGTTGGATGTCGGAAAAAATATTTCTTTGGAATGATTTCTCTTTCTAATAAATAAATACGTATATAATTAAACAAATATTTTTAAAAGATAATGTATCTTTTAGCATAAAAGTTAACTTATTTTATTTTTAGTAACTTTTGGGCTTATATATGGCCATTGACCCACAAGTTTAGGTCTTGTTTTCCTCTTTCTCTCCTCCACTGTACAACTCTCTCCCCTCTCTCTACAAAATAGAAGAAGATCAATGAATAAAGGAATTTTGGGGCTATGAGAAGAAGATCAATGAATAAAGGAGTTTTGGAGCTATGATTCTACCATTTTCCACTCTTGAGTCACTACTCTATGGAGCATATATTTCATATATGCTCTAGATACATACATATGGTATACACTCCACATACATTGGGTAATTAACTGTATCAAAGATAAATAGTGAAGATGAATACAATGATAATGTTACTCAAAAGAGAATTAAAAATACTTAGAAAAATTCAAACCAAAAGTAGTATTTATTTAGACTATCGTTTTTAATAACGGTCAGCTATATAATTTATATTGTTATATGTATTTTTAGTGTAAATGTGTAATGGTGGACAACTAATTTTTTTTTTTTTTTTTTTTTAAATTTAGTTCACTTTTTGTGACACCGCCAGGTGGCGGGTGTCGCAGAAAGTATGTATATTATTTTTATTTATTTATTTTTTAATTTTTGGGGACTTTTCGAGACACCCCCATGTGGCGAGTGTCGCGGAAAGTAATCTCGTTTATATATATATATATATATACATGGGGGTGTCGCGGAAAGTAATCTCGTTTATATATATATATATATATATATATATATATATATATATATATATATATATATATATATATATATAAACACACAGGTGTAGCGTTTTCTTATGTATTTACACTTTTACCACCGGACTATTTTTTAAATTTTACACTACACCTTTTAGACATAGGTGTAGTGAAAACACACAATTTTTTGGGTTAGACCACGAGATGTTCTGAGTAGGCCCTAATTGTAGAAGACATCTAAGCACGTACCATACTCAGCCTAATCCCCATTCGCACTGGGCTGGCCCAATTAAGGAATAAAGCAGTCGTTATATCGTGTATCGCCGTGCATAATCGATTATGCACCGCGCGTCAAAACGACACCGTTTCTGCAGTTATAACAGAGTGACACTACAATGTGTCTGAACCGACACTGTTTCACGGATTATTTTTATATTATCAAATGAAACTGCAGTTATATCAAAATGATACTGTAGTTGTGGTGAAATGAAACTACAGTATATATAAAATGAAACTGAATAACATTTCACATATTTGAGTGTATATTGTACAATGAAGCTGTAATTATATTGAAATGATCATGTAGTTGTGTTTTAATGAAACTATAGTGTATATAAAATAAAATTAAATAACATTTTCACATATTTGAGTGTATAAATATTGAATGAAACTGTAGTTATATCGAAATGAAACTGTAGTTGTGTTGAACTGAAATTGCAGTGTATACAAAATGAAACTGAAGAACAAAGTTATTTTTTGCAAAAATTCCATTTCTTTTCATTATGTAAAACGACGTCGTTTTGATGCGCGGTGCAGAATATAATTTGTCAAGAATAAAGTGTTGTTCAGATTGATTTTTCATACGTGAGGGGTTCGAACTCCAGACATTTATATGATCATATCATTTTTGTAGTAATGTCAAACCTAGAATCAGGTCTTAAGTTATTATAAGCCTAGCCTATTTCCATCCTTAGTAACAATTCATTGAGAGCTTCTAACAAAAGTAATAAGTTTAGACAAGTAATTATGAATAATCACATCCGAAGATGATTAATTTATCCAAATTTTATTCATTGTAGCAACACAACACGACATTTCAAATATACATGTGTATATATATATATGCACATTTCACATTATTAGTAAACAAGATTCGAAACCTTAATTATTGGCATAAGAAATAATAATAAGGTTTGAATTGTACGTTTTCCTCATCAATTTGGAGCTCGCGAATTCCATGCAAAAATTATTGCACTCTAATAATCCGGCTGCCTCCCCAACCCCAAGCGTGCCTTCCGTTCACCAACTCTCCACGGCCGCCGCCGCCGGGGCCGCCTTTGGGTACCGTCACGATGAGCTTCCCGTCCACGAACGCCGCCCTAGTTAGCTCCGGCTGCGTGAACGCCGGCAGCCTAAACCGCCACGTGTCCAGCTTCATTTGCTCCAAAAACAATGCAACCGATGACGACCCCTCCTGATGACGACTATTATTCCTCACCACAATCTTGGTTATTCCGGGATGGATCTCCACCGCGTGGGCCCTCAAGCCGCCGCCGCCGCAGCCGTGCTCGGCAACATGGCCGATCTCCGCCACGAACCGGAACCCCTCGGCGTTTTCTTCCACAATCACGTCGTCATCGGAGCGGAAGGGCAACTCCAGAACCTTCCCGAACACGTGGGGCAACCTCCTCAGCCTCATCGCGGCGGCGCTGCCATCCATAAAACTCGCCGATCGAACCGTTAAATTAAACAAAGGATCGGAAAGGAAATGTTATATATATTTCAGCCTCGTAGCTTTAATTTATATAGATATAGAGGGCAGAAGAATAATATTAAGAATACAGGAGAATCCAAATCTCATCAAAAAAGGGTTTTCAGAGAATAACTTTTTCGATCATATTCTGAAAACTAACGATGCCGTGAGTAGCTTCTTCTTCAAGCTAAGCTATTCATCAATTCCAAATTGAATACTTATTTGTGACTGAATTTTTAAGCAAATAAAAAATTCTGAAAACCCCAAATTGATTTGAACATACATATACTTATATAATTCCTATATATGGAAATGCATGTGTGTGCTTTGCTTGTATATCTATCATTACAGATTTACAGATAGATATTTATAGGAAAATTATATTTTCCTTAAAGATGAATTGTTTTTGACATTTCTGAAATCATGGTGGTAAGAAGAAGCGGGTTGGGGTGGGGTGGGGTGGGGTGGGGCGAGTGGTGAGGCCGGAGGGCTCTGCAAAGGCATCAGCAAAATTTCAATCTTTATCTAATTAATAATGCTTTTTGATGGACCAAATTAAAACCTTTTGGGAGAATATTAATTAATTTGCAAGTTTCTTAGTCCGGTACATTAGAGCCTCACACAAATGTTAGGTTGCTGATATCTTACTTTTAGTGTGGAAATGATAAGAATTTAATGGGGTGTTTGGTTGACATTAATTACAATTCAATAATAATGTAATGGAATAAGGATTAAATAGGCCACTGAACTGCACACTAAAGTGCAATTAGGCCATCGAACTCAGAAATAATGCAATTGGGTCCCTGAACTACACAAAATCATACAATTATGTCCAAAATGACTAATTTATCGAAATGCTGGTTACTAATTTTAAAAATAATTTATAAACATATTTCAAAATAAAATAATTAATTTAATAAAAAAAAAAAAAAAAACACTAAAACTAAAGGCTTCGTTTCCCTGGCCATGGAGACGAAGCCTGCGGGAGACGATTCGTCTCTGGCAGTTCTAATTTTTTTTAATTTAATTAATTATTTTATTTCAAATTATATTTAAAATTTATTTTTAAAATTGGTAATCGCCACGTCAGCACAATTTCAGGTCAACATGTCATTTTAGACCTAATTGCATGATTTTGTGTAGTTTAGGGACCCAATTGCATTATTTTTAAGTTTGATGGCCTAATTACACTTTGGTGTGCAGTTCAGTGGCCTATTTGACCTAGGGATGTCAATTTAGCCCGAACCCGATGGGCCAACTCGAAAAAAACCGAAACCGACAGGGCTATGGCCCGAACGGGCTAGCCCGATAAAACACATTAGCCCAACGAGCCCGAAACCGATTAGCCCGATACCCGATAGGGCTAGCCCGAAATTAAAAGGGCTAGCCCGACAACCCGAACTATTGAAAACTATTCTTTATTATAGAAGTGATATGAAACCTAACATATATGGAATAATTATTATACTTTAAAATAAATAAATAAATAAATAAATAAATAAATATATATATATATATATATATATATATATATATATATATATATATTAAAACTTAAATTTTTAGTTTTATAAAATTTAAATCAACTTTAATCTAATATTTTGACTAAAAATTGATGAGCACGGAATTTTTCGTCCCCGCTAAATTTTCCGCGGGAACGTAGATAGGGACTATTTTTAATTTTTCGTTGAGGACGGAGATTGGGAGTATACTTCCCGCCCCGCCCCGCCCCGTTGTCATCCCTACTCTAAATATGGGTACTCACTTTCAGTTTCTAATTTTAGTTCAGATGGTTCAACCCGCCCGATTAGCCCGACAACCCGAAGTTTAGGGTTAGGACCAAACCGAACCCGAGAATAAAATATTAATAAACCGATTAGCCCAAACCGATTAGCCCGACAACCCGACAGGACTAGCCCGAAACCGAGTGGGCTGGCCCGATTGACATCCCTAATTTGACCCTTATTCCTAATGTAATTGTAAGAAAGGAGAAACGAACTTTATTTTTTTGTCAGAGGGAATTGCACCCTCAATTCAATGAATTGCAATTTGCAAGTCCCCCATATGGGAAAATGAAGAAAATGACATATGTGCTCTTAATTATTATTATTATTATTATTATTATTATAGAAGGGCATTTTAGTATTTATTTCACTTCTTCCCTTTCCATTCTCAATAATTCTATTATTTTCTACCAAACAATGTAATTTGAATTCGTACTTTGTTCCAACATTATTCTTTTCTCATCGAATTATAATTTTTTTCCGGAAAAATCACACTTTTGGTCCCTCAATTGTTGCTCGATCTGCAATGTGGCCCCCCACTGTCAATTTCATTCAATTGGGTCCTTCATACCTTTAAACCGTAGTCGATTTGGCCCTCCGGTCAGATTTCTCTCAAACTATAGTTAATACTATGGACATAAGTGTAATTTCGCTTTAGCCTCTTTACCCCATTCTTCAACAACGACATTTTACCCCAATTTCATAACCTAATTTCGCAATAGCCTTATTTCCCCTACATTTCACTCCCAAGCTGCGAACCTAATCTGCCATTAACGTAGCCATTCATCATACTGCTACGAAGAGGACGACGAGCCAATTTCACGACCATGTCTTCAAACAACTCCGGCGGTTCAGTAGAATGGATTCCAAAAGTACGATGTTGGTGCGGCAAAGTTGCTCCGGTAAGGATGTCCTGGAGTTATGCCAACCTTGGAAAGTGATTCAGAGCATGGCCACGCTATGGAGTACGTGTAAGCATCCTAAACGATTTTACTTTGCTATTATTAGGTTTTAGAATACTTAATTCGACTTCGTTAATTGATTGTGAATGTTAGGGGAATGGGAACTGTAGGTATTTTCAATGGTTGGACTCGGATTTCTTCTGAGCGTGTGTCCAAAGTGATTCGATGTCTATTGAAGAGGTTAGATAAGCAGGAGATCATAGTGAAATCCAAATGCTTCAAGCTGTTATTGAAGAAAAAAATGTCAACCTTAAGAAGAAGAATTTGGATTCCAAATTTCAATTTTTGTATGGTTTTGGATTTGCAATTGTTGTTGGTTTTCTTTGTTTCAAGCATTGGATGAGAAGTGTTGATCCAAGTGAAAAGCTTTTCCAGTTGAACTAAGATAGATTTGTAGCTTAATGGTAGTTTGTATTAGTTTTGAGTAGTTTGTAAACTGCCATTGTGTAAAAACTGTGATTGTTTATAATGGAATTAGTTTATTGGATTTGGCTTACACTGTGAACTGTAAGTGAATCTGAAAAAAAAAAAAAAAAACACAAATGAATCTGGGAAAAACCAAATACATGGAAAATTGAACTAATGAACTACCAAAATGAGTTGTAAGTGAATCTGGAAAAAAAAAAAAAAAAAACAAATGAACTGGACAAATACATGTAAACTGTGAGCTGTAAGTGAATCTGGAAAAAAAAAATAAATGAACTAAAAAAATACATGTAAACTGTGAACTAAAAGTGAATCTGGAAAAAATCAAATGAACTGGAAAATGAGCAAAATAAGCAAAACTGCCAAATGAGCAAAATAAACAAAATTGTCAAATGAGCAAAATAAACGGACTTCATAAACTGCATTTGTGTCTTACATTAACTGGGAAACTGCCAAAAGAACAAATGACCACTTGAGCAAAAATACATGATCACTTGTAATGAACATCTTGCCTACCAAACTGCCTAGCAAAAATACATGGTCACTTGCCAATGTTCACAAAATACAGCAATCAATTACTAATCAAAAATACAATCACTTATATATAATCACTTGCCAATGTACAAAAACACATAAAAGTACATTTTGTCTTCACATTTCCTTATGGTCACTTGTAATTTTTTTTCCTGGCCAATCTCTGAATTGCAGTTAAAGTTCTATACTTCTTTCCTCCTCTTGTCAGTACATTTTCAGTAGCACATGTACCTGTAACTTGTGAAGCAATAAAAGTAGACTCTTGTGGAAGTTGGTTGTTAAGTGGTTGAATCCCATTTCCAACTGCTTAGAACTAGGACTAGGACCATTAACTTCTACCTCTATTTCTTCAAACACAGTATCTGGACTATTAACTTCCCTCTCAGAGTGTTGTTCACTTGTCTCATCTCTGCCCTCATTGCGCTCATTCAATAGTGCATTATCTCCTAAAGACCTAGATAACTGTACTTCATAATCCCATTGATCATGATACATATGTTCAACATAAATGTCCAACTCCTTGTTTGTTGGAACCTCGCTCTAAACTAAGCATTAAAATATTTGCATCTGTGCTTAGTTTTCTCAATTCAATTTTTTTTTTTTTTTTTTTTTTTTTTTTGCATTTTTTCTACTCTTAACCTTAACCCAGAATTTGATCTTTTTATCACAGAACCTTAATTGTTTTACCATCCTCCTTAAATCCAGTAAACTTCCCTCATCAGAGTTGAAATAATCAAAATACTCCACAAAACCATCCCTATAGTCAACTTTTGGCTTCCAGAACAAATTAACACCAATATGCAGTTTAATAGTAAACACAGGTAGAGGAATCCTCACCAACATCTATAAAGCAGTAATTTAAATTAAAAGTCAATTTAACAGTTTTGCAGAAAGAAAAAACAAGGTCCATTCACAGTAAAATACAAGCACAGTAACCTAGAAGTACAGTATGGTCCATTCACAACCAGTACACTAACTACGACCCCCATGTGGGTACAACAAAGTAACGTATAACTACATCTTGTCCCCCAAAACCCAACATTGCACATGCGAAAAAGAAACATACAACCATGGTTCAAGTTCGGATATATACATTTATTAAACTAGACTAGAACTGGTCCCTACTAAGCAATAATCCCAGAACCCAACACATTGCACATGCTGGAATCTCTTTAAATAACACAAACAAGACAAAAATCAACTTTTCTACTGTGAAAAGTAAAGCATATGTGAGCTTCGGATACTTACACGTAGGAATTCTATTGGAACCATTAATCCTCCTACTAGTCATGCTCGTGCTCGTGCATCATCGTCCTCTTCGCAGCTTGGGGATAAAGGATTTAGGGGCAATAAAACGTTAATCACAGATTGTGGGTGAAACCTAAGCTAAGGCTGAAATGAAATGAAATTGGGGGTAAAATGTCGTAGAAGAATGGGCATAAAGTGGCTAAAGCGAAATTACACTTATGTCCATGGTATTAACTATAGTTTGAGAGAAATCTGATTGGGAGGCCAAATCGACT